GAAGCGAGAAAAATATATTATATAGTAATATGTATGTTTAGTATTCATATAAAACTAGTAAGAGATGCTGGGACTCCTACGCATCATTCTTATACAACTTCTCCTTTCAACTTTCCTCTATATAATAAGAAATATTTCTTCATTCTCATTCTTAGGCGTATGTTTGTTGGTTTTATGAAGAGGCAGGGCTTGATAGTATTCTTTTCTGTTGCCAAACAAGCGCGCGTCTGAAGGTCTATTTGGGATCAATGTATTGAATCACTTGTTACGATTCTCACCCGGGGACATTTTAAAAAAGTTTTTGAAATTATGGACTACATCTAAATATTGGACATAGGTACGTGTATTGTCCAATAAGCTTCCAATTTCCAATTTAATTGCAGTATAATGCACAACCCTATTCATCCTCAAGTTCACAAGGAGGCTTTAGTTTACAAAGTGAATTAATGAACCGGCAACTTAAATGATTAAATGCTAATTCAGAAATCGCTGCCAAACTAATAAACTAGTCTAAGTTCTAAAGCAATGCATAGGATCTTAATCACGCGTTAGTGTACTAGTTCAGTGTGATGCAATAAATTTTAACGCCATGTATATTTCTCAAAGGATAATAACACTGAAGATTCAGATATATCATACTTACAAACATTGAAGTTGCACAGGTCTTTGAATGCGTAAAAAATTATCTTTGTGTTGTTACTTGTTACGAGGTTACAGCTCAACCGTTATGAGTTCTTCTTCTCAGTCGCATGCACCCTTGGCAGAGCGGTCGTGGTCATCACTTCGGGTGGTGTTGCGCTTCACCAGACATCGCCATTTCTCGCGTACCGCGGCCCTTCTTGTGCACTCGTTAACGGGACCGTTTAGAGCTGCCTTTATTTGGTCGGTCCATCGTAACGGTGATCAGCCGCGCGGTCTTGTACCCTCTATCATGCCCTGCACCACAAGGCGCTCAACTGAGTCGTCACCCAGCCGCGACACATGACACGTTATGAGTTACTATGTTTCATATATTATGAGACTTCTCGTTGCAAACGAATACGGATGAAGTAGGAGTCACTAGTTCTTTCAGTTAAGAAATCAAAATGAAATTGATTGCTGTAAATACGTTCATAAATCCGGTTACAAATTAGAACATTTTGTACACGTGTATTAGGCGAGGGACAATTACTTTGCAATTATCGTGTTAAACTATAATTTAATGGGGTGCTAAAAAAAATTCAGAATTAACGTAAAGTCGTGGTTTTTTGGCTGGCGTTTTAATTTTAATCCCGTTTGATTATTTTTTTGCCACGACCATAATCCAGTGAGGTGTACAACCGATAAACATTACCCACGGAGTTTCTCGCCGGATCTTCTCAGCGGGTCGCGTTTCCGTTCCGGTGGTAGATACTACGAAGCACTGCTCTTGCTAAGGCTAATGTTAGCAATGTCACCAGGTTAGAGCCCCGTGAGCTCATCTACTTGTTCATTGAATCTACTATGACTCCTCGAGGTCACTAGAATAGGTAGGAAAAAAAGAAGAGGTGTAGGTACGTAGAAATCTGATACATTGCAATACCAGCTATCGAATTGGCACAATCACGACTTTATGCTCATAATACGTACGTATTCAGCACGATGCTCACAAATAATTACCCCGACAAAGAAATAACATCGTTTAATAAAACAAAACCCGTAAAAAAAGCCCACACCGATACTAACTCTGCGCGTAATTCTGCCGCGATGCAGATCCAGGATACATTCCACTTTTTTATTGATGAGTGGCTACCGGAGCTCACAGCGCGATTGCCGCGACCCACTCTGAGAGACGAGGTCTCGATTATATAGTATAACAGTAGTATTCACCATTGAATTCAGAATGCACTACCAGTGCGGGATTACATTACGCCTTAACACCCGTAAATACATTAACTAGATAACCATATTTCGGTATAAATAAAATATATATTTTTAATTATTCTTACGTATCTCCTACAATGTTCATCTAACATTTGCAAGCTGAGACTTATAATTTAAAAACTAACTGAATTACATCGTCCAGTCGACTAATCAGACTCGACCCTAATCAGCATCTTTTGTGTCTGCGTGCAGATAAGACTTGAGTAGTGTAGTTAATGATGCGATAGAAAAAACAACAGCATACCGACAAGTTCTTATATTTGTGAGAAAAAGCAAAAAGCGGGTAGAAACGGCTGGCAAGGCTTGTTTTAATAACACTATGCCCCCTTGGTTAGCTTTGGCTGGTGGCAGGCCATGGCAGCCGACGTCACGTCCGTTACAGAAAGTTTGGGGCCAGACTTGGATGCTTAACTTAATGGTTACCAGTAAGTCTAAGAAAGTAGTCGGATAAAGTTACGCTCAAACAGTAAGATTTTTTTAAGGCATTTTATGACATGGTAACTAAGACCTTTAGTTCAAATCTTATTTTAATGAAAACTTTTTTATATGAAAAATGATATTATGAAATGAAATGAGGTTGATTAATATGAATGGCATGGGATGAAATGAAATGAGATGAGACGACATCGGATGAAATATAATCTCCGTAAAATGGTGGTCATTTACTGAGACTTTTTGGAGGATCCTGAGAAGTTACGCTATTGCTTTGTTTCATTTTCCCACATTTACTAAGGTACTACAGGTACTAATAGACCACTGCTATTGCACATTTAAACCTGAAGAAACACCAAATAGCGAAAATAAAACAAATCACACAACTTCACTCCTCGCGTTCCCGCCAAAAAGTCCTCAAACATTAAGTTTTTTTTTATGATCTGGTGACATACTAGGCTGCACTAAAAGTATCGGGAATGGAATATTTCCACTATTCCTGTCATATTAAAATCTTTTTAATTGAAAACTCCTTGGTTTTAAAAATCGAATACCATTTATTTATTTAAAAAAAGATTCTCGGTCTTGTCACGAGGTTTTGTCAAACTTGTTTAGTCGTTGAGAAAATGGAATTGACTCGAGAAAATTCAAGAGCGATGATTTATTATGACTTTCGAAGTGGTTTAACACAAAAACAGTGTGTTGACCGGATGATTTCTGCATTTGGTTATGAAGCCCCATCCAAAACCACAATTTATCGCTGGTTTGCTGAGTTTTAACGTGGACGTTTCAAGCTCAGTGATGATCCCCGTCAAGGTCGTCCAAAAACTGCAGTCACCCAAGAAAACGTTGATGCTGTGCGTAAGCTGATTGAGGAAGATCGACATGTGACATACCGCGAAATTCAGGC